GCTGTTCGTGTTCTATACCGAGCTTGCCGCATAAACCATTGGTGGCGTAATACCAGTGAGGTGAAACAGCTGAGAACCTTATGGACGGAAGAGGTGGAGTTGCAAAAATTGTCCAAACCAATGATGACCGCTTCAGGAAATATTCTGAAACCACGCAGAGGATTCAATTTTCTCAAACCCCTCTCTTCGCCCAAAGTTGCTCGTTGTACATTGCTTTGTGTCGGCAGTATGCTCGGTCTGGTGATGGGATTTTTCGGTCTTCTTTTGTACGCACGAATCCTCTCTAGCTATGTTTACCTGGTTGGTTTCCTCAATGCGCTTACAGCTATTCCGGCCAACATTTTGTCTGCCGTTCTCTACCGATACTGTCTTCGTCGAAAGCGCCCGCTGATTGCTCTGACTGGTTTGGCTGCAATCGTACTAGCTGCCAGTTCACTGTACACATTGATTATGCAACCGAAAGCCGATTTGGTTATGACCGTGTGTTCAAATATCGCACTGGTTCTAGTCAACGCGTCCGTGTGTATGTGCTATGTATATGTGCCCGAATTGTTTCCGTCGGAAATTCGAACTCACGCGTTCGGCCTGGTTTTGGGATTGGCTCGTATCGGTAGTATTGTGTGTACATTTGTCAACGAATTGGACCGTATTGTAGCCCATGGTGTGCCGATGCTCATCTATGCCGCTGTATTTCTATGTGTACTGGTCACCCTGGCACTGCTTGAAGATACCAGCGGGGAAAATTTACCGGATGTGAGCCAAGAAAAGTGCTAAACAGTGACTTCCCCGCTCGCGCGTCCTCTCGCCGTTCTCCTTGTCCACGATGTGATCACGCACACACCAGACTGCCGACTTGATGTTAGATTTGCATCTGTTTTATTTTTTTATCCACGGAACTCCATGTTTTTCAATTCTTTTGGTGTTTGTCTGTGGGTCTGTGTTTGTTGCACTAATAAAGTCTTGTACTAACCGTACACAATGTGTATACTGCTCAACAAATGTGCGCGCGTGAGATGATTAGAAATCAGAAAAAATAGTAAGATGAGGATAAGTGGTGCTGAACCGAATCATTACTCGAATATATTCTTGAATGAAAATCGGTCTGTATTTCAGAAGAAACAGTGCGGACCCAGTCAGAAATCGTAAGGTGCAGAAGTGCACGCATTGCCGAAAGGTTGCCAATTAACCGAGAAACAAGGTATCCAATGCCCTAATCTGAGTTCGTCCACCCGTACAATCAGAGAAAGCTATTATTGAATCGCAGTTCGATTTCATCCTCTGAGGACTGTTCGTGTAGGCTGCGTGGTACACTTGGTATTAAGGGGTTTTCTGGTGTTTGTGTTTGTGTATTTGTTCGTTTGTGCCCACCTTTCGAAAGTCACTTGGCTCATTTGATCCANTCCAGGAATGCACTGCGGTGCCCAAACACGTGCACACCTGGCAGAATGACAGGGATAGAGAAGTGAAAATCAAATGGATTTGGTTTGAAAAAATTATGAAACGAGTGAATCCCAGTGAATTGTCGTGGATAAAGAAAACATATCAATCTAGATTATCTAACGGGATGAATTGTAGTATCTCGCATCTTTCCTCATCCCGACCGTCAGATGCAACATCACTGGAAGGATAGAACCAGTAACAATATATGTACTAATCCAACTATCAAACTTCTCACCAATGGTGGTGAATCAGTGAACAAACAGCACTTATTATTAGTATCGAAATTTCCAGCATGGCGATCGATCGCAAGTGTAGATGTTGAAAACACGATACTATTTGCCATTGTCAGAATAGAGAAGGTTTGATCCATTTGGATTGATGATTAATTGGAATCATCGACGTGCAGTAGCATTTTAATCTGAGAAGTACAGGTATCAATAGGAGAGGTGTCGTTACTACGTTGACAACATATTGCATAGTCAAACGTCAAGTCCCTAAAGAAACTGGCCCAGTAAAGCGACGGAATATAAGTACGTTCCCTCGTCGGTAATGATCACGCTAACGCTACGCCAATCGGACATGGTGATTATAAGCCTCAATGGCAATGGATGATTTGGAGCAAGAATCGACGTAACAACAGGATCAATCCGATATTAGTGACTAGTGCTTATATCTTGGATTACCGCGATCTCGTTTATGACTTATTGTTTGTAGATTTCCACTCGTGCGAGTCGTTACCTCTGTGAAGTAATCGTTTTAAAAAACTGAATGATTGCTGTGTCGAAAGCAAGAGAGTGGAAAAACTAGAATTTATGACCCATGAAAACAGAAGCGCTTGAGTAGATATGATCTAGCGTATAAAGGGTGGGAAAAACAAGCCATACGAATTGGGTAAGCAAGCGGAAGATGTTTCACACTGGTTCCGCGTGACCAGAGGTGCGAAAACATCAAACCAAGAAATGGTCTAATTAAGCCAAGCATCTCGTAACCAAGGGGTTAGGACTGAATCACAAGATAGTTGATGATACACTAAAATTGACTTACGCTGATCATCCGTCAGACTTCATCTTCACGCGAAATCCATAGTTCTTTCCATCAACCGAACATTCGGAAAGCACTGAGATCCATTTGCAATCTGCCCAAGGCTATTCAGTATTGCATATCCACCGTCCCGTTCAAGCTTTGAACTTTGTATCCAGCACAAACATAGTGATTGTCCGAACTTGCATTAAAGTTCTTGTTTAATAGAAGGAATTCAAATGAAATTAACAGACAAAAACTGTTTCCTTTCGTTGCTGTTGGGCCCCGGTAACCGACTGACCGTCGTTGAAAGCGATATGTGAACAAAAAGAAATTGGAAATTCTGGTCAGACCCGATGTGAATTGTCCGGCACAGTGGCAACACGCCCTCCATTCGATGGGTCCGGAATTTACAGCCCCAAGTGGGACGGTGGATATGCACTGCCGACGAGCAACAAGCATAGCGAGATTTCAGTCTAGTACTTCCTGAATGTTTGGTTGACTGGATTAACTAGGGATTGTGCGTGAAGATGAAGACTGAAAGTTGTTTAGTCCACATCAATATCCCTTACCACTTTTCACGAACAAGTGGAAGTTGAATGCGATTGAAAAACAACGCTAAACCTCTGTATCTGAGTTCCAAAAATGCTATACCAACCCGGCATACTTGACCATTACTTGACTCTCGAGGGAAGGTATCTGTATTCTGTTACTTAAGAGATACTGGCATTTTAAATAATAGTCATTATACTGTGGGCTACGATGTCAGCATAATAATGGGACACCCTTAATTATTGCCGGAATGTTTTAAATGGAAACAAGGAACCATCACACTTTATTAATAAGCGGGATTTATTATGCCTGAGCCGAATAGGATTCAAGCATCTCATTGCACGAATATTGCTATTGGCTGGCATCCTTTCCGATTCTTGGAGAAGAATTAGCTGTAAAATATGCAGCTACTGCACAAATGATAATAGGTTTTCAGACTAACCTACTTGCGTCAACCTGATCAGTGTGGGTTACAACGAAAAATGTTTGCCGCTGTTGCATCATTTCTCAGCCGATTTAAATCTGTTCTTCATTGCGTAGTACCATTCTCATCGGAAGTGGATTGAACCTGGATGTATTTAGTGTCTTTTAATTATTGATCTGTCCCTCGTATGACCCTTGAGTTCGGGGTGGTCACCGAGCTCGAGATTTTCTCATCGGCGCTCGGTCAGGTTCCATTCCTTCCAGCTTTGCGTCAGCTGTTGAGGTGTG